TTTGCCATTTTTCCCCCAAAATTCCACCTCCAAATTCCACCCCCAAAATACCCAAAATTCCACATTTTTACCCTAAAATTCCACCCCCAAAATTCCACCCCAAAATCACCAAAATTTAACATTTTTACCCCAGATTTCCACCCCCAAAATCGCCATTTTTTCACCCCAAAACCCGGGAATTTCCACCCAAAAAATCGGGATTTTTTACCCAAAATTCCACCCCAAAATACCCAAAATCCCACATTTTTCCACCAAAATTCCACTCCCAAATCCATCAAGAAATACACAAAATACATTTTTCACCCAAATTTCCACCCCAAAATCCCCAAAATTCGCCATTTTTTACCCCAAAATTCCACCCAAAGCCCAGAAATTTCCACCCCCAAAATTGGGATTTTTAACCCAAAATTCCACCCCCAAAATTGGGATTTTTTACCCCAAAACCCGGGAATTTCCACCCCTAAAATCAGGAAATTTCCACCCAAAATTCCACCCCAAAATCCCCCAAGTTCAAATTTTTTCCCCCAAAATTCCACCCCAAAAATACCCAAAAATTCCACGCCAAAATCCCCAAAATTCACCATTTTTACCCCAAAATTCCACCCCAAAATTTCCATTTTTCCCCCCAAATCCCCCCCCCGTTTTATCCAATGGCTCCACCCCCTCCCCGTTGGCCCCGCCCACCCATCAAGCCCCGCCCACCCTTTTGGCCCCGCCCCCGGCTCTCACCTCAGCCAATCCCGTGCGGGGGGAGGGGCCGAGCTCKGACGGTGACTCCGCCTCCTGCGCCGAAGGGGGCGGGGCTTCGGCCTTGGCCACGCCCACTGGGAGGGGTCAGAAACCTCAATTTGGGTCAAAAACCCCAAAATTTGGGGTAAAAAATTCAAATTTTGGGTCCAAAACCCAAATTTGGGGCAAAAAATTCAAATTTTGGGTCAAAAATTCCCAAATTTGGGGCAAAAAATTCAAATTTTGGGTCAAAAACCCCGAATTTGGGGTCAAAAATGTCAAATTTTGGGTCAAAAACCCCGAATTTGGGGTCAGAAACCTCAATTCTGGGGCAAAAAATTCAATTTTTGGGTCAAAAATCTCAATTTTGGGTCAAAAACCTCAAAATTGGGGGCAAAAAATTGAAATTTTGGGTCAAAACCCCAAACTTTGGGTCAAAAATTGCAAAATTAGGGGTAAAAAATTCAATTTGGGGTCAAAAATCTCAAAATTTGGGGTAAAAAATCCAATTTGGGGTCAAAAATCTCAAAATTTGGGGCTAAAAATTCAAATTTTGGGTGAAAAACTTTAAATTTTGGGTCAAAAAATTCAAATTTTGGGGCAAAAACCCCAATTTTGGGTCAAAATCCCCAATTTTGGGGCAAAAACTTCAATTTTTGGGGTTAAAAATATAAATTGTGGGTCAAAATTCTCAAAATTGGGTCAAACCCTTCAAATTTTGGGTTAAAATCTCCAACTTTGGGTAAAAGAATCTCCAAATTTTGTCTCAAACTTTCAAATTTTGGGTCAAAAAATCCAAATTTTGGGTCAAGAACCTCAAATTTTGGGTCAAAACCTTCAAATTTTGGGTCAAACTTCAAAATTTTGGGTTAAAATCCTCAAATTTTGGGTCAAAACCCTCCCAGTTTGAACTCAAGACCTCCCAGTTTGAGACTGGAACCTCCAAACTCCCAAATTTTGGGTCAAAACCCAAAAAATTCCTCCAATTTTGGGTCAAAACTCCAAATTTTGGGTCAAAACCTCCAATTTTTGGGTCAAAACTTCCAAATTTCCTAAAATTTTGGGTCAAAACCTCCCAGTTTAGGACCAACTGCTCCCAGTTCGGAACTGGGACCTCCAAACCTTCAAATTTTGGGTGAAAACCCAAAAAATTCCTTAAATTTTGGGTCCAAAACCCCAAATTTTGGGTCAAAACCCCCAAATTTTGGGTCAAAACCCCAAAAATTCCTCAAATTTTGGGTCCAAACCCCCAAATTTTGGGTCAAAACCCAAAAATTTCCTCAAATTTTGGGTCTAAACCCCCAAATTTTGGGTCAAAACCCTCCCAGTTCGGAACTGGGACCTCCCAACCTTCAAATTTTGGGTCCAAACCCCCAAATTTTGGGTCCAAACCCCCAAATTTTGGGTCAAAACCCAAAAATTTCCTCAAATTTTGGGTCTAAAACCCCAAATTTTGGGTCCAAACCCCCAAATTTCAATCCCAGTTCAATCCCAGTTAATCCCAGTTTAACCAGTTCCTCACTGGGCGGGGCTGACCCAATTCCCCCAACTGACCCCGCCCCCTCCTCCCCCGGCCCCTCCCCCTCCCGTTGCCGCTGACCACGCCCCCTCCTGCGCCCCGCCCTCCTGCGCCCCTCCCCCATTCCCAGTTTGATACTGGTTCCCAGTTTGCGCCGCGTACTGGGCGGGGTCACTTCCGGCGCTGGCCACGCCCCCTCCCGTGGTAGCCACGGCGGCCGCCGCGGTAGCCACGGCCCCGGCGCCGCTGGCCGCGTACTGGGCGGCGCTGGCCGCGTACTGGGCGTACTGGGAACCGTCCGAGCTATACTGGGAACCATCAGATCCATACTGGGAATACTGGGAATACTGGGAAGCCAACTGGGCGTACTGGGCGTACTGGTAGTACTGGTTAGAACCGGTTCCGTACTGGTTAGAACCGGTTCCGTACTGGTTTGAACCGGTTCCGTACTGGTTTGAACCGGTTCCGTACTGGTTTGAGCCGTACTGGTTTGTACTGGTGTTATACTGGTTTGTACTGGTTCCGTACTGGTTTGAACCGGTTCCGTACTGGGAGGATCCCAGTTGATACTGGGATTGGTACTGGGCCATCCTGGCGGCCATGCTGGGCGTCA